GGGGCTCGGAGCAGAGCATCACCACGGCACCATCCTCCTCCTGCAGGGTCCCCCTGGGAACCCCGGTCCCCCCGGTCCTCCCGGCCCCCCGGGCACCGGTATCGACATGTCAGCCTTCGCCGGGCTGGGTCAGACGGAGAAGGGCCCCGACCCCATCCGGTACATGCGGGCGGACGAGGCGGGCAGCAACCTGCGGCAGCACGACGTCGAGGTGGACGCCACGCTCAAGGCCCTCAACAACCAGATCGAGAGCATCCGTAGCCCCGAGGGCTCCAAGAAGAACCCAGCCAGGACCTGCCGGGACATCAAGCTTTGCCATCCCGAGTGGAAGAGCGGTAGGAGCCTCCATCCCTGCCTCCTCCCCTCCTGTGCCTCTCCCCAAGCTCTTGCACCCAAGGGGACAGCGAGGTCCACGATGCTCTTTGCTCTGACCTCCCAAACCTCGTGTTCACGCATCGTTTGCCCTCCCTGCTGCAGGAGATTACTGGATCGACCCGAACCAAGGCTGCACCTTGGATGCCATCAAAGTCTTCTGCAACATGGAGACTGGTGAGACCTGCGTCTACCCCAACCCCAGAAGCATCCCCAAGAAGAACTGGTGGACGAGCAAGACCAAAGACAAGAAGCACGTCTGGTTCGCAGAGACCATCAATGGTGGTTTCCATGTAAGTGTTCCACTGGGCTGGTGTTGCACACCGGGAATGGGAAAGGCAATGGATGGGAATCGGAATGGACGTTGAGCAGGGGAAGGTGTTGAGTGTCTGGTTGGAAGGTTGGGATGTCCTTCCTTGGAGCTGTGCTGATGGATGCTACATGAGGGGCTGGCTCTTCTAGGGGACTCTATTGAAAGCGTGGAGTTGGGTCAGTTCAGCTCCATCTGGGAATGTAAAGCCTGGAAGTGCCCTCAAAAGGTGGCTGGAATGAGCAACACCCATTGGCTTCAATGTCTCGCCTCTCCCCCCCCCCAGTTTAGCTACGGTGACGAAGACCTGGCTCCCAACACCGCCAGCATCCAGATGACCTTCCTGCGCCTCCTGTCCACCGAAGGCTCCCAGAACGTCACGTACCACTGCAAGAACAGCATCGCCTACATGGACGAGGAGACGGGCAACCTGAAGAAAGCCATCCTCATCCAGGGCTCCAACGACGTGGAGATCAGAGCCGAGGGCAACAGCAGGTTCACCTACAGCGTCCTGGAGGACGGCTGCACGGTAAGGCCAGGGCTACCTGCAAGGCAAGGATGCAGGCGATGAGTTGGGGCTCAACGGCTGAGGATGCTCAAGAGCATCTCATCCCGCTCTTGTTTCCCCCCCCCCTCCCCAGAAACACACTGGCAAATGGGGCAAGACAGTGATCGAGTACCGGTCGCAGAAGACCTCGCGCCTGCCCATTGTGGATATTGCACCTATGGACATTGGTGGAGCGGAGCAGGAGTTCGGTGTGGATATCGGCCCCGTCTGCTTCTTGTAAAGAGAGCTTCGTGGTCCGTTTGGTTTGATCGTTCGGAATTCCAGCCCAATCCCGTGCACCTAAAGAAGAAACGACCGAACCCCAAACTCACCCCGAGGACCCGAGTTCTTCCCCAAACGACTTCTGCACTGAATGGCTGCAACGACCCCCCCCCTCCATGGGCTCACGGCATTCCCGTCGGGAACCACCGCCTCTTCCCAGCGCCGGCTGGAAGCAGAAAGAAACCACGGGCTTATTTATTTATTCTCTTCCCAAGACCTTGCGTTGAGGTCAGGGGGGAGGTGGGAATCCGGCCACGTTCGAGGGCCCTTCCCTGCTAAAGGGGTCTCACAAATCCAGGTACCACGAATCCCCTCCCGTCCCTCCGCCCCCGTGTAATGGATGAGAGGACACAAACACGATAACATGGTGCTATTCTTGTACAACAAGTCTGTATTTTTTAACATCAGTTGATATAAAAAAAAAAAAGAAAAAAAAAGGTCAAAAAAAAATACTTTTGGTGGAAAACATAAATCCATGGGTTTGGTTTTTTTTGTTGGTCTCGGGGGGTTTAAATCCCTTCTCTGCGTTTCTCAGCTGTGAGAAAGGAAGGTTTGGGTCAAATCGCTTCATTAAGGGGAAAAAAAACCCTGACCAATGAATGTCCCCCCAAAAGGGAGAGGAAAACCTGGAGCCAGGCTGGGAGAGCTGGGCTGGGGCAGCCTGGAGAAGAGAAGGCTCCTTAAGGGGAGACCTGAGAGCAGCTCCAGTGCCTGAAGGGGCTGCAGGGAACCTGGAGAGGGGCTTGGGACAAGGGATGGAGGGGTGGGATGAGGAGTTTGGGCTTCCAAGTGGAAGAGGGAAGAGTTAAATGGGATATGGGGAAGAGGTTCTTCCCCATGAGGGTGGTGGGAGGCTGGAATGGAAAAGCTGTGGCTGCCCCATCCCTGGCAGTGTTCAAGGCCAGGTTGGACACAGGGGCTTGGAGCACCCTGCTCCAGTGGAAGGGGTCCCTGGAGCTGGAGGAGCTTCAAGGTCCCTTCAACCCAAATCCCTCTGGCATTATGTGAAATGAGAACCCTTGAAGCACCAGGAGCCAAGGCAGCAGCCACAGGTTTGTGTTAAGGGATCTCATTGCTCCCCTAAACAGAACCAGGGCGATGCGAACCGGGACACCAGTTAAAAGAAACCGGTAAAACCAGCGGGGAGGGGGATGCTGAGACCAATCCTCGTGCAAATCAGTGCAGCCACAGGTGGGGGTGTCCTCTAACCCTCATCCCTATGGAATTTGTCCCGTTTTGTGCCCATCTAAATAGAGTTTCAGGGTGGATTTGCAGCAGGGAAGGCTGGAGATGCTCAACCATTGCCAGCGGCACTTCGATGGTGTCAGGAGGAGTCCCAGGTGCAAGCTCTTCAGCTTGGCAATGAGAGCGTTCAGGATTCACTTGGGTTTTGCTGCCTCAAAGCAAAGCAGCCCAGTTCCCCCCCACCAGGAGTCAGGAACACGCCGGAGCATCACACATGGGACACTTTGGGTTCCAGGCCAGTGCTTTTGGTTAAAACCTTGGCACTTTGGGGCTGCAGCTTTGCACTAAGAGGAGCGACCACGTTAAAGGGTTTGCCCAAAGCTCTGCTTTGGGGCTGGTTTGAAACCCTCTCAGTTGGCACCAGAGCAGCACCTGAGGCAGCCCAGCAGGGGGGGAAGCTCGGAACGTTGGCAGCAGGAATTCATTACAGGAGATTGGAGGATTAAGGAGGATTTTCGAACCCAAAACAGCCTCTCAAAGGCCAAGTGCTTTGGCCCATGACCCCAGGGTGGCCCCAGCGAGCAGTGCCCTGGCTCAGAGCCTCACACGCTGAACCAGGGCAAAGCCACGCTCCTGTGGAGCCAAGCAGCAGGTTTTGGGGTCCTGAGCACCCTGAAAGGGCACCCAGCTCCAAGCAACCCCACGCAACAGGACAACGGGGGTTAAGGCCGGGGCTGCAGCTAAAGATGATGACAGGGGTGGCAAGGCAATGCTGGGGAGGAGAAGGTGGCCTCACCCCATAGGGAGACACCAGCTCAGGCTGAGGCAGCACCAGGGCACAGAGGAGGAGGAAGCTGAGCAATGGGATGGATAAAAAGCAAAGGCTGTGATTTCCTCTTCCTTAAAGCAGAAAAGTTCAACTCATCAGAAAGTGAGGGTTCCTGGAGTCGTGTGAGCAGCGCGTGATGGAGATCACCAGTGCCTGAGGTCATGGAACCCCAAACTGGTTTGGGTTGGAAGGGGGGATCTCCCCAGAGCACAGCCCAGGGGCAGGATCCTCTCCCTGGGCTCACGCTCTGGGGGTGCAGCCCAGGATACTGGTGCTGGCTGCAATGGGAAGGGATGGAGGGGCTGCACTGCTCCCTCATTCCCCCCAGTCATTCCCAAGAGAACAGACGATGACTGCAGTCACTAACTCTAGGACAAGGTTTGGTTTCCACAGGAGAAAGGCAGAGCTTTTCCCCCAACAAAGGACGCTGCACGGTCACAAACAGCTCTTTGTAAAGCCCAGCTCCACTTTAATGAGAGAATTCACTTCTAGAAACCTCAGGAGGCAGAAATGCCACTTCCTAGAACAGGCACCGTGTGGTTTGATTTCACATTCCCTCCAAATAAAGCATCCTTCACTGAGCACTGCCCTCAGCCCCACCCGGCCTCCATGTCCTCACACAAGCTCACACCACCTCCCATCTGAAGGACAGGGTTGGTGCAGGCAGGCATCGAATTCCAGAGGAACCACAAAGGGATGAAAGGTCCCAAGCTGCAAACAGCACAGGTTGGGCTGAGCTCGGGGGTTTATCTGCTTTAAGAACACAGCTGATGCCATCCTTCGGGAACAGCCCCTGGAGTGAATGAACCCTTTGGGACACCAAACCCCCCTGAAACCGGTTTAAACCCAGACGTGACTGTGTCAGGCATGAGCACCAAGTGACACCGAGCTGTGGGACCCCAGGGACCCTGCGGCTGCCCAGTGCGGGGAGAGGAAGGTCCAAAGGAGGAGGAGGAGGAAGGTGGAATTCACACAGAGCCTTCCCTAGCCCCACACTTCCTGAGGCACCTCAAGCCAGGTGTTTTGGGGCTGGGTTTGCTGGAGGTGGCAAACACAGAAAGAATGCGTTTCAAAGGTGCCTTTGCCTCCTCCTAGCACAAGTGAGGGAGGTGGAAGCTTTATCTGCACGTTCCTTATGGGAACTATCCCTTTGTTTGCTTTGGATCAAGGCAGGGACACACTGCTGCTGAAGAGAAGCAGGATAAATTAATTGCACAGAACTGATTAGCTCACCCTGAGGGATCAGACACAGTGCAAAGCTTTGAGAGCTGCAAAAATCAACTCTAAATCTTTGGGCACATCAGCCCCCAACGCCTGGAAGTCCAGTTTTCCTACCAAAAAACTAGTTCTCCAGAACCAAAGAGAAAGGCAGGACCCTGGAGCTGGGAAAACACCCCAAGAGATTCATGGCCCGGCCAGAAGCGCAGCCCAGCTGCCAGTGGAAGAGCATGAAAGGGACACAGAGGGCATCTCCCACCAAAGTCACGTGTGATCGTGATCCCTCTGCTTCCATTGGGAAGCTCCTGGTCCCTTCTAGAAATCCATGTGCACCAGCATCCACCCCAGGCTGCATCCGCCGGGCCTCAGGCGGAGGGGGGCAGCAGGAGCAGGTCCTGGCTGGCGGTGAAGTTGGTGCTGCAGTCGACGTAGCGGTACCGCTCCAGAGTGCTCTGCGACACGTGCCCGATGTACGAGAGCTTCACCCACGTCCTGGGAGGGGAGAGCAATGCCTCTGTCTGAGTAACAGCCCCTGCAGGTTTGCATTCATAGAGCCCCAAAAAGGGATGGGCTGGGAGGAACCTTAAAGCTCATCCAGCTCCTACCCCCTGCCACGGGCAGGGACACCTTCCATTAGAGCAGGTTGTCCTACTGGAAGGTGTCCCTTGGCCTGTCCCTACATCCCTTGTCCCAAGCCCCTCTCCAGGTTTCCTGTAGCCCCTTTAAGCACTGGAGCTGCTCTAAGGTCTCCCCTTCAGGAGCCTTCTCTTGTCCAGGCTGCCCCAGCCCAGCTCTCTCAGCCTGGCTCCAGAGCAGAGCTGCTCCAGCCCTCGCAGCATCTCTGTGGCCTTGCTCCATCAGCTCCATGTCCCTCTGGTACTGCTGCCCCAGAGCTGGATGCTGAACACTCATCACAGCTCCTCTTCCCCCTCGAAAGCTGCAGCTCCCCTCAGTTTCTGTTCCTCAAGGTCTCTCGCTGCAGAGGACAGGCTGGTGAGCACAGGCTCCGGAGCACAACACCCTCATGTGAATGCTCAGTGTGAACCGAGCTGGTGTCTTCTCCTTTCCACCTCACGTTTCACCCAACCGTGTCAAGTGGCCTGGACTAAAAGCTGACACTGAACCAGGCTGGGGGGCTGCCAAGAGGGATTTTCTTTGTGTCCCCTAGATCTGCTGCAGCAGCAATTCCTTTTTGAGTCAGGAGCTGAGCAGAGCACCACGTACCTCATGAAGATCAAGATGTTGTGCACCTTGGCCTTGGGAAACGTGCAAGAGAAACTGGAAGAGAGCAAACCACAGAACCAGGTCAGCGTGGGCTAAGCAGGGCTGCGGAGACACTCGCGTTTCTCAGTGTCTTCTGGGATTCTCCCTTTGGTGCCAACTCAGCTCAAGACCTGGGCCAAGACAAACCCTGCTGCAGCATCCCACAAAGGCCTTCAAGTCATTTCTAGCAAACAGTCACCTTCCAGGAAAGCAGCACAAACCAAGTCATTTCCAGAGCTAACTCTAATGAAAGCACCCTAAACCCGCCCTCCTCCCCAGCTCTATACAAGGAGCAGTAAATCCTTACTACACATAGGAGAAGGAACCACCCAGCTCTGCCTTCACAGTGAAATTCACCTGTAAAAGAGGAAAGAAAAACACATTCACATGCCTAAATCCAGCCTTTCTGGAGTCTTTCCTACTTGCTGTTGCCTTTATCTGGGGTGCACAAAGCTACTCTGACCATCAGACTACTTTGCCAGGCAAAGCTTTAAGGTATAGATAGACCACCATCATGTTACCTACAGGTTTTAGGCAATAAAAGCATCACCCAATGAAGCAATGAAAGGTGCACACCAGTTTGTCACTCAGCGGCTGGATGCTGGAGACGTTGCTGACCTGCTGGGTCCCCACCACGGTGTTCATGTACTGCACCTGAGTAGTGAGGCTGGTCACTGTCACCGAGTAGAAGTTGGAGTTCCTGATGCGTAAGGTGGCCTGGGTGGAGGGGAAGAGGGGACACAAGTAGCAGGGAGCCTCCTGGCAGCTCAGCAGGGAGTTTATTCCCTTGGGAAGAAACACACAGCAGCAGCTTACCGTGATGGCGAGAATGACGACGGAGTTCTTCTTGTCGAACCAGACCTGAACCACTTTGATCCCGTCGTCATCCACCAGGATGGAGTGTGGGAAGAAGAAGAAAACCACCAGCCCCGAGATGAGGAGGCAGAGCAGCACGGACAGCAGGACATAGAGCTTCCTGGAAGAGGCAGAGAAGGGGTCAGCTCCCTCCCCTCAACACCACAGGAGCCTTTGCATCCGAAACCCAACCCAAGCAGCAACCACCACGGGTTTGCTCTTCCCTGGGAGAGCCCCACAAGCGCTGCTCTGGGGTTTTTGCCACCTGAAATTGCTCAGAGCAGGGTAGTTTTTGGTAATGAGTAACCAAAGATTCAGTTTTGCCCCCACAGCGTTTTCATTCTCCTGTTTTGCTGCTGGCAAGGCAGCTTCTTTCTACAAGCTCCGGTAACAGGCACAGGACGAAGCGTGTGAATAAGCATCACTGTTTCCACACCCACACCGCAGCGGGATTTCACAGGAAGCATTTCAAATTACCCTTTAAACTGCATCTGTTGGCTTGGATGAAAACAAGCCACTGGCTGAAGGAGAGGCTGCAGAGCAGGTGAAGCACTGAACCACAAAGGAGCCCTGTCTGCTCTTGCAAAGATGCTGTGGCTCTTTACTGCACACTTACTTCTTTGGGGACGGAGCCGCTGGTCGCTGTAGGGTATCAGAGCCACCAGCTCATTTACCTGCTCTTGGAAGGCAAAAGGAACACGTGAATGATGCCCTGTGCGCTCACGCATCCATAGGGAATGTTTTTCTGTTTGCATGTCAGCCCTCACGTGTGGGGATGCAGCCGGTGCCCTGGCACGTGGGGCAGGTGATGCTGTCCTGACCCGTGAACTCCACATAGGGGAACTTGGCAATGTCCTCCTTGCGGTCCCGGCTATCGAGCAAGTCCTCCTCCTCCTCCTCAGCCTTCCTCCTCTGCCTCGAGGTGGTGTTGGCAGCAGGGAAGGAAAGCACAGAGCCCATGGCAGCCGCTGCAGGAAACCTGTGACAGGGGCAGCAGGAGAAGCCCTGGTCATTCCAATGGCTTTCAGGCCAACAAGGAAACCCTGAGCTATAGAGAACAACCCCCCCCACCCCAACACCCCTTAGAGACACCCCCACAGAGACACCCCACACACAGGGGCTGAGCTCCACAGCACCCCACACCAGCAAGGCCTCGGGGGGGCTCATTGCCAGCGACCCCCTAGAGACACCCAAGCCCCTCCTGACAGACAGACTCACACCCCCAGAGCAGAGCCGTGCCCTCTGGGACACCCCCAGCCCCAAAACGAGACACATGGTCCCCAACACCCCCCTCCCTCACACACAGCCCCTAACAGAGCCCCACAGCCCCTCATGCCCCCCCTCAAAGAGGAATGATACCCCCAAAGGGGGGTATATAGAAGGTATATATCCCCCACAGGGACCTGCCCCCCAACTCCCCATGAGGGACACCCCTTTAGGACACCCCCAAGCAGGGGACAGCCCCAAAACCACCCCTCAAAGGCTGAACACCCCCAATGAAGGAATGCTGCCCTCAAATCCCCCCAAAGGCCCTGCCCCCCAAAACCCCCCCACAGACACCCCCAAAACCACTCCTCAAAGGCTGAACACCCCCCCAATGAAGGAATGATGCCTTCAAACCCTCCCAAAGGCCCTGCTCCCCAACACCCCCAAAACCACCCCTCAAAGGCTGAATACCCCCCCCATGAAGGAATGATGCCTTCAAACCCCCCCAAAGGCCCTGCTCCCCAACACCCCCAAAACCACCCCTCAAAGGCTGAATACCCCCCCCATGAAGGAATGATGCCTTCAAACCCCCCAAAGGCCCTGCTCCCCAACACCCCCAAAACCACTCCTCAAAGGCTGAACACCCCCCCAAGAAGGAATGATGCCCTCAACCCCCCCCCAAAGGCCCGCCCCCCCCCCAGACACCCCGAAACCACCCCTCACATCCCAAACTCCCCAATGAAGGAATGCTGCCCTCAAACACCCCCAAAAGCCCTGCCCCCCAAAACCCCAGACACCCCCAAAACCACCCCTCAAAGGCTGAACACCCCCCATGAAGGAATGCTGCCTTCAAACCCCCCACAAGGCCCTGCCTCCCCACACAGACACCCCCAAAACCACCCCTCACATCCCGAACCCCCCAATTGAAGGAATGATGCCCTCAAACCCCCCCCAAAGGCCCTGCCTCCCAAAACCCCACACCAACACCCCCAAACCACTCCTCACATCCCGAACCCCCCAATGAAGGAATGTCCCCCCCTCGAACCCTGCTATGGACACCCCGAACCCCCCCGGGCCCCCCGCGACCCCTCACACCCTCCACAGCCACTTCCCTCTTCCCGCGCAGGCGCGGTCGCTATGACAACGCTTCAGGCGGGGGTGGGCGGAGCCAAGCCGTACCCACGCCCATTGGCGGCAACACGCAGGGCGGGGCGTGTGGGCGTGGTTTGTATAGATCACGCCCCCTCTGGCGCCCAGCCCAATCAGGGTTTTCGTCATCACGGGGCGGCCCCACCCTCGGAGGGGAAGTGGGCGGGGCTCTGCTTCGTCACACCCCCCCCGTGGCGGAAACCCGCGCCAGGGCGTGCCGCGTCTCTCACTGCGCATGCGCATAACGGCGGCGGGCCCCCTCCTCTGGGGGCGTGGTTTGAACCGCGCATGCGCTGCAGCTACGCGGCGGCGTCCCCTAGACTGTGGGCGGGGTCGGGTGAGGGAGGAGACGGACGTGTCCTCTTGCGCATGCGCACTGCAGGGCGCCCCCCCCCCCCCCCCGGCCCTTCCCGCGCGTGCGCGGAGCGGGTCTGCGCGCGGGAAATGTGCGCGTGCGCAGTGGGAGGAAAGCAGCGGCATTGGCAGCTCTATAGGTACTGCTGTAGGCACCGCTTATAGGTAGCGCTATGGGTACCGGTTATAGGTACCGCTATAGGCACCGCTATAAGCAGCCGTATAGGCACCGCTATAGGCACCGGTTATAGGCACTGCTATAGGCACCGGTTATAGGTACCGCTATAGGCACCACTTACAGGTACTGCTTATAAGCACCGCTATAGGCACCGGTTATAGGTACCGCTATAGGCACCACTATAGGTACTGCTTATAGGCACCGCTATAGGCACCGGTTATAGGTACCGCTATAGGCACCACTTACAGGTACTGCTTATAAGCACCGCTATAGGCACTGGTTATAGGTACCGCTATAGGCACCACTATAGGTACTGCTTATAAGCACCGCTATAGGCACCAGTTATAGGTACCGCTATAGGCACCACTATAGGTACTGCTTATAGGCACCGCTGTAGGCACTGCTATAGGCACTGCTACAGGCACCACTTATAGGCACCGCTATAGGCAATGCTTATAAGTACCACTATAGGCACCAGTATAGACAGCGGTATAGATACCGGTATAGACAGCGCTATACGCACCAGTATAGACAGCTCTATAGGCACTGCTATAGGCACCGGTATAGATAGTGGTATAGGTAGCGTTATAGACAGCGCTATACGCACCGGTATAGACAGCTCTATAGGCACCGCTATAGGCACCGCTATAGGCACCAGTGTAGGCACTGCTATATACACCGGTATATGCACCACTATAGGCACCGCTTATAGGTACTGCTCTAGGCACCAGTATAGATGCTGGTATAGGTACCGTTATAGACAGCACTATATGCACCGGTATAGGCATTGGTATAGACAGCGCTATAGGCACCGTTATATGCACTGATATGGACAGCGGTATAGGCACTGGTAGAGACAGCGGTATAGACAGCGGTATAGACAGCAGTATATGCACCACTACAGGCACCAGTATATACAGTAGTATAGGCACCACTACAGGCACTGGTATAGACAGCAGTATAGGCACCACTACAGGCACTGGTATAGACAGCAGTATAGGCACTGCTATAGACAGCAGTATAGATAGCCTAGGCACCGGTAAGACAGTACTATAGGCTCGGCTCCAGGCACTGCTATAGGCAGCGGTATGGATACCAGTATCTACACCATTATGGACACCAGTATAGACACTGATATGAGCACCAGTAAAAGCACCGGTACACACAGCGGTATAGATACCAGTGTGAGCCCCCCGGTCCCAGTATAAAGCTGTCAGACACCAGTATGAGCCCCCCCCACGTCCCAGTGCAGAGCCTTCAGACACCAGTGTGAGGGTTTGTGTGTGCTGGTGCAAGGCTGGGTGTCATGGACGGGTGTCATGGATGGGCGTCATGGATGGGTGTCATGGTCATGGGCGTCATGGATGGGTGTCATGGATGGGCGTCATGGTCATGGGTGTCATGGATGGGTGTCATGGATGGGCGTCATGGTCATGGGGGTCATGGATGGGTGTCATGGATGGGCGTCATGGTCATGGGGGTCATGGATGGGTGTCATGGATGGATGTCATGGATGGGCGTCATGGTCATGGGCGTCATGGATGGTTGTCATGGATGGGTGTCATGGATGGGTGTCATGGTCATGGGGGTCATGGATGGGCATCATGGATGGGCGTCATGGATGGGTGTCATGGATGGTTGTCATGGATGGGTGTCATGGATGGGTATCATGGTCATGGGGGTCATGGATGGGCATCATGGATGGGCGTCATGGATGGGTGTCATGGATGGGTATCATGGTCATGGGGGTCATGGATGGGTGTCATGGTCATGGGGGTCATGGATGGGTGTCATGGATGGGGGTCATGGTCATGGGGGTCATGGTCAGGGGTGCTCATCAAGCGCAGGCCATGCACAGCAACATGAGGCCATGGCGTGAGGCTGTGCCATGACTGCGTGCTTGTGCACATGCATGTGATGCCATGCACATGCATGTGATGCCGTGCGCACATATGTGATGCTGTGTGCACATATGTGATGCCTTGCACACGTATGTGATTCTGTGCACACATATGTGATGCCATGCGCACGTATGTGATGCCGTGCACACGTATGTGATGCCATTCACACATATGTGATGCCGTGCACATGTATGTGATGCCATGCACATGTATGTGAAGCCATGCACACCTATGTGAGGCCGTGCACACATGTGTGAGGCCATGCACATGTATGTGATGCCTTGCACATGCCGTGCACATATACATGTATGTGATGCCTCGCACACATATGTGATGCCATGCACATGCCATGCACATACACATGTATGTGATGTCTTGCACACGTATGTGAGGCCATGCACACGAATGTCATGCCGTGCACATGCCGTGCACATACACATGTATGTGATGTCTTGCACACGTATGTGAGGCCATGCACACACATGTGAGGCCATGCACACACATGTGATGCCGTGCACATGCCATGCACATACACATGTATGTGATGTCTTGCACACGTATATGAGGCCATGCACACACATGTGAGGCCATGCACACACATGTGATGCCGTGCACATGCCATGCACATACACGTGTATGTGATGTCTTGCACACGTATATGAGGCCATGCACACACGTGTGATGCCTTGCACACGCATGTGATGCCGTGCACACACGTGTAAAGCTGTCCTTTGCCACAGCCTCACCAGACACAGTGCTGCTGGGGGGGGGGGGGGTCCCTTGGGGGGTCCCAGCTCCCGACCCCTGGCTCCACATCCCAAGATGGAAAATAATGATGGGGAAAGCCCAAATCTCCCCATTTTCCACCCCGGAAACAGCCAGGGGTAGGAAAAACTACGGGAAAAGGCAAAATCCCTTCAATTTCCCTCTGGAAACAGCCAAGATGTGGAAAACTGATGGGAAAAGCCCCAATCCTTCTAAACCCCTTTTGTCCCATCACCCCCATCCCATCGGCTCCGGGACCAAAGGGAGCAAAACCAGTCCAATTGGAACAATGCTAATTCCATAACTCGCTCCTGTACAGTCACTGGGGGGTTCCCTTTGCAATAAGAAGCAGAGCTGGTGGGAAAGGGAATTCCTGCCCCTCCAAGTGACCCAAAGCACCAAACTGAAGTTTATGGCAAAACTGGAGATTCCCTGGAGCTGCTTTCCATGCGGCGC